CATAAAAAAATATTTAAGTTAATTTTTGTTGCAAATTAACATTGTTATATATATATATATATATATATATATATATATATATTAAAATTTATTTCAAAATCAAATACACTTATGACACTGTGATGACATAATTTTCATTCAAAATTAATTATTAATAATTTTGTATAAAATATTTTTTTTTATTTATTTAAGTAGAAAAACTAGTATATACTATATATTTATTTATAAAAAAAAATTATTCATAAATAATATATTAATAAAATGTTTATTATTTAGTATTAAAAAAAATTGTAATTTTAAATATTTTTTCTTTAAACATACAATTTAGTAATAAATAAAATATAATAATTATACTGTATTTTAAACAAAAAATTAAAATTTTTATGATTTCTATCAACAATATAATCATAAAAATATTTTGAAACTTTTCGTTTTGTTTTGTTTTGTTAACATGTCATAAATGTTTATTTTAACAAATTTTTTTTATACATTTTTTTTAAACAAATTAAACAGTAATTGACAAAACAATAATATTTGTTTTATTTTTATTTTTTTTAAAGATAACTAATAATATATAATAGACAATGTATCATAAATAGACATATTTTTGTTTGTTTGTATAACTATATGTTGAAAAGTAATAAATAAAAATAATTACTAATAATATTAATAATAATAAACAAAAATATGTTTATAATTATAGTTTATATTCAATACTAATAAAATGTTTCAACAATTTAATAACTGTTTAATTTAGTTTATATTTTATAGTAAAATCATTATACAGTATATATATATATATATTGATAATGATAAAATTATATCTACAATAATTATTATTAAAAAATAATATGTAATTAACAACAACAAAAAAATTTTAACAAACAGTATTAACAATAACTTTATTATTTTGTTTGTCATATTGTTTTTGTTGATACCTTTCCACACTTAGCCTAAGGACTGGTGTCAGCAAACAGGGATCAATTGACTGTAGAGATGTCTTACCTATTAATTATTAAAAATTTTATAATAAAAAAATTATATGATATATACAGTATATAGTATATACTATATACCGTATAAACAATAATTATAACTTATACAACCAGTCCATAGTGATATACAATAACCGGATAAAATAGTTACTAATGAACCGATAGGTCCATAATACATATAGGATAGTCGATATATAAAAAATATRTTATCATTATGATGTAGGCCCTGCACCTCCACCTCCTCMTCATAAGTGGGTCGACCACCAACACTATAGTTTGCTGATGAATGCATAGTTAGATTATTATAGTAAACTAGTGGACAACTATCCATTGATATTGGTTTGCTGGGTAAATATGGCCTGTAATACATRGCACCTGTAGCTATCCATAGTGAACAGGCCATACCCACTAGTGTTCCCCATAGTGCGCCCCTGGAGTTAGCCGACGGTACAAACATACCCAATACGAACAGTCCGAACAATGGCGCAGACAATAGGCCGCAAAAACTAYTGTATGCCTGTAATATGTTACCCATTTGTTGGGCTATCATAACCATTACTATGGCCAGTAGGCCGTAGCCGATGCCTATGAATTTGGCATAGAGTGTRGCCATTGAATCGGTTAGTTGTTTATGTCTGACTAATGGTCGCACATAGTCTTCAAGTGTTACGGCTGACAGTGCATTCAAACCGCTTGAAATTGTACTGTAATAGAGTTAATAATAATAATAATCTTTTTTAGTAATGTTAATGTATGTAAATGTATGTATGTGTGTGTGTATGAGTTTATATGTATGTATGTATGTGTATGTGTGTGTGTGTGTGTGTTTATAGGTAAGTGTGTGTGTGTGTGTGTGTTTATATTATTATATATTATGTGTGTGTGTGTGTGTGTGTGTGTGTGTGTGTTTATATGTATGTATATATGTATGTGTGTGTGTGTGTGTGTGTGTATATGTGTTTATGTGTATGTGCTATGAGTGTGTATGTATGTGCTATGAGTGTGTATATGTGCTATGAGTGTGTGTAATACACACTGTGTATGTGCTATGAGTGTGTGTAAGTGCTATGAGTGTGTGTGTATGTTAAACAATTGTGTGTCTATATGTGTATGTATGTATGTATGTATGTACTGTATGTATGTACTGTATGTGTGTCTGTGTCCTAACCTAAGCGATCCACTGAAAACACCGGCTATGAATAGGCCAACAAAACCGGGTATCGATCCAAATGTTTCGATAACATACAGTGGAAACAATTGATCGGATCGTTCAACCAATTTGTTGGAATGGGATCACAGGTACTGTATTTAGCCGACACTAACAAACCAATCCATATGGATAGTCCAATAATTGTTGTCTTCAATGGTAGGACAACCCATAAAATTCTGATTGTAATAATTTAGTTTATTTAGTTTTAGCATGGTAATTTTTTTTAAATATAAAATAATATAATTATATAAATATAGTTAAATTATTAACTTACTGTCTAGCTTGTTTCAATGTGGGCACCGATAGATATCGTTGAATCATTGCCTGATTTGTTGCATAAACATTAGTCGAATTAATAAACTGGCCGATCATTACTGTCCACAGTGTATGCCTAACCAATGGATTGGGATCTAAACTATTGTTTAAAAAAAACTCAATTAATTAATTATTTTAATATATATATATATATACAGTATATAACAATTTTATAGTATATATATATATATATTATGTGGACATATATCACTTGAATAGCTCTATCCTATGAAACTGTTGATTAGTTTGCCAAACACTGGTTAGTCCACCCAATTCTACCGTTCCTTTGATAACAAATGTGAATAACATGGCAAACATAAGGACTGTTTGGAAAACATCAGTCCAGATAACGGCACGCATACCGCCCAGTGTTGTATAGAATATACATATGAATCCAGTTGTCAGCACCGATAGCCATAGATTAAGACCGGTTACTATATTACATAAAAATTAATAAATATTAAAAATATAAATTATATGTATTATCAATATATATACTATATATACTATATATATCTTTATATATAGTCTAACTAACCCTGTGCTATAGCCAGTGCCGGTGCATACAATACAATTGACATATAAAATAACTTAAAACATATATTAAATAATAATTAAAAAAATATTATATTATTAATATATTATATAATTTTTTATTTTGAATTACCATATATATTGAATATATTGTTGAGCCCAGTAAGCGTACGGACCTATTAAATCGCTTATTTAGATACTAGTGATAATATATATATAAATATATTTAAATAGAWAATAATATTTATATCAAATAGTTATTTATAAACAATAATAATAATAAATAATACCTCATAAGCGCTGGTTATATTTAGCTCATAGAAAACAGGTAGAAATAGGTATGAGCTGACCAWCAATACCAGTGGATTTGCTAACAATATGACCCAAATTTGTGTACCATATATATAGACTTCGGTAGGCATTCCCAATAGCATTATGGCCGATATAAAACTGGCCATAACCGAAATGGCTACCGGTACGACCGACATGGATTTGTTGGCCATTAGATAATCATTGGTACGGGTATTAGTTTGGGTATTAGTAGATCTATTGGATTTTTTTCTACCTGTCCAACCGTAGTACAGACCGATAAGTGCCGACACCAATAGCATACCAATAAATATTGTATAATCTATATATGATAGTTGTTTATCAATCATATTTCAATTATACTATATTTAAAAAAAATATGTATAAAAATTTTTTTTATTAATTCAATTAGAAATTTCTTAAAATATAATATTATATAACTTGTATTAATCTATAAAAAAAAATTGTTGTAAAATATGTTAATAACTACTGTAATCATAATAATAATAATAATAAAATAAATAAATGTAATATTTTTTTATTGAAATATATATATTAATCATTAATTTTTATTCACATAATTAAGTAATTTATTAATTTATTTTTTAATACCTATTATTATTGTCGACCTATGATTTATATTAATCATTAATTATTAAAATACTTATAAATATTTGATTTATTATTATGCAAATTGTTATGCATTATTGCTTAGTATAATAATAAACATTAATTTAAATTTTAAAAGTTAAATTTAATTTTAAACATATTTTTTTTAAAAATTTTACTACTACTATAAAAATAATTCAAATATTTTTGTTTCAATAATCATATTACAATATAATAATTGGTTTATGTTTTAATTTTTTAATTTCTCAAATTTTTTTTCAACAAATAGTATTAAAAATTTCTAATATTTTTTTTAATGAATTTTATGTCATAAATGTTTATYTAATAATTTTTTGTATGGTTTTTAAATAAATAACAGTAATTGACAAACAATATATTTATTTATTTTTAATTAACTAAATTACTAATAGTATAATAAATTAATTACTGTTAATTAAATTAAAAAAAAATACAAATTTATTATAAGTTTATTGTTATAAACAAAAAATATTTAAAATTTTATAATAATAATAATGCAGTTTTATTTAAACTATTTAAACATCTAGTATTTATTTTATTAGTTTAGATAATTGTTAATTTTTTCCAATAAAAATATAGTAAAATGAAAAAAAAATATTTTTTTTAAACAAATACTCATATTATATTAAAAACTAAAAAATATTTCAAACATTACTGTTTAACAAACAGTATTAACAACAACTTATAATATATATATATTAATTAACTAATTTACTAATAGACAATTGTGTAAATAAATTGTGTCATATGTATAATAAATTAAATTACTGTTAATTTTAAGAAAAAATCATAAAAATTTATTATAAGTTAATTTTATTAAAAATTAAAAATTTTATAATAATAAAGTTTTATTTAAAAACTTAAACATCTAGTTTTTATTTTATTAGTTTAGATAATTGTTAATTTTTTTAATATTAATATAAATATAGTAAAATAAAAAAATATTTTTTAACAAATACTCATATTATACTAAAACCAAAATAAATATTTCAAACATTACTGTTTAACAAACAGTATTAACAACAACTTTATTATTTTGTTTGTCATAATGTTGTTGTTGTTGTTTTTGTTGATACCTTTCCACACGTCGCCTGAGCACTGGTGTCAGCAAACAGGGATCAATTGACTGCAGGGATGTCTTACCTATAAATTTAATAAATTATATATTTAAAAAAATCAATATACCGTACAATAATTTTTTTTTAAATAAATACATTAGTGATAAATACATACTAGTCATCAATGATATACAATAACCGGATAAAATAGTTACCAGTGCACCRATAAGTCCATAATACATATAGGATAGTCGATAGATAAAAAATATRTTATCATTATGATGTAGGCCCTGCACCTCCACCTCCTCATAAGTGGGTCGACCACCACCAACACTATAGTTTGCTGATGAATGTATAGTTAGATTATCGTAAACTAGTGGACAACTATCCACTGAAATTGGTTTGCTGGGTAAATATGGCTTGTAATACATGGCACCCGTACCTATCCATACGGTACAGGCCAGACCCACTAGTGTACCCCATAGTGCGCCCCTGGAGTTAGTTGATGGTACAAACATACCCAATATGAACAGTCCGAATATTGGYGACGACAATAGTGAACAAATACCAAGAGCTGCCTGTAATATGTTACCCATTTGTTGGGCTACGACTACCAGTCCAATGGCCAGTAGACCGTAGACACTAGCAATCAATTTGGCTAATAGTGTAGCCCTTGAATCGGTTAGTTGTTTGTGTCTGACTAATGGTCGCACATAGTCTTCAAGTGTGACAGCGGACAGTGCGTTCAAACCGCTAGATATGGTACTGTAATTAAATTATTATTATTATTATTATTGAATGTGTTATTATTAGTAGTAATTGATTGTTATTGTAATTGAATATTTACAGTATTGTTAATGTGTGTGCATATGTGTGTATACATGTATGTGAATGTATGTATGTAGGTATGTGTGTGTGTGTGTYTGTATGTATTTATCTGTGTGTATGTAGCTGTTTGMATGTATATGTGTTTGTATTTATGTGTGTATGTATTTATGTGTGTGTGTGTGTGTGTATGTAGCTGTGTGTATGTATATTTGTATATGTATTTATATGTGTCTGTGGCCTWACCTAAGYGCACCACTGAAAACACCGGCAATAAATAGTCCAACAAAACCGGGTATCGATYCAAATGTTTCGATAACATAYAGTGGAAACAATTGATCGGATCGTTCAACYAATTTGTTGGACATGGGATCACAGTGACTGTATTTGGCCGATACTAACAAACCGATTATCATTGATAGGCCTACTATTGTTGTCTCTAGCGTTAGGGCTAACCATATAATTCTAAATTAATAATAATAAATCATTAGTTATTGATTATTGATAATAATTTAAGCATGCTAAATTTATATAAAATAATTTAAATATATATATATATATTATTTTTGTTTTGATTTAATTAAATTTTGTGTTTTAACTAACTGTCTAGCTTGTTTCAATGTGGGCACCGTTAGATATCGTTGAATCATTGCCTGATTGGTTGCATAAACATTAGTCGAATTAATAAACTGKCCGATCATTACTGTCCACACTGTATGCCTAACCAATGGATTGGGATCTAAACTATTGTTTGAGAACCAAAAAAAAAATACAATTAATTATATATATATATATATWTCAGTGTTTTAAACAAGTTTTTTTGGTGGTCTAGGGGTGTGGGTGGTATAGCATCAATACCACACCTAACCTCCCAGTGCTTAACTCTGATATATAATTTTGTTTAATAGTTTATATATTTTATGAGTATATATATATATAATCACTTGAATAGCTCTATCCTATGAAACTGTTGATTAGTTTGCCAAACACTGGTTAGTCCACCCAAATCTACCGTTCCTTTGATGACAACAGTGAATAACATGGCAAACATTAGGATCGTTTGTAAAACATCAGTCCAGATAACGGCACGCATACCGCCCAGTGTTGTATAGAATATACATATGAATCCAGTTGTCAGCACCGATAGCCATAGATTAAGACCGGTTACTAATATATTACATAAAAAAATTAAATTATAATTAAAAATATATAAATTTTATGTATTGTAAATTAGTCAATATGGTTATCATAATATCATAATAATAATAATTATAACAATATAGCTAACCCTGTGCTATAGCCAGTGCCGGTGCATACAATACAATTGACATATAAAATAACTGAAAAATTAATATTATTATTATTATTATTAGTAGTAGTAGTAGTAGTAGTAGTATTTAATATGTTTAATATAAAAAATAATATAATKAAAATGTTTTTTTTAATACCATATATACTGAATATATTGTTGAGCCCAGTAAGCGTACGGACCTACCAAATCGCTTATATAGATACTAATGGTAAATAAATAATTAAATAATTATCTATATAATTAGTATTAATATACAGTAAATAGTTATATATTAATAATTTTAAATAATCAGATATATATTAGTTGATATCTCAAAAATATTTATATATATAAAATAGTAATTATTATAATATTTATAGTATTATTTTGTTATTATTAATCATAATTATTACAAATATTTTTTTTGTTTATAAATAACAATTAAATATATTTTAAAAATAAATAATACCTCATAAGCGCTGGTTATATTTAGTTCATAGAAAACAGGTAGAAATAGGTATGAGCTGACCAACAMTACCAGTGGATTTGCTAACAATTGGATCCAAACTTGTGTACCATATATATAGACTTCGGTAGGCATTCCCAATAGCATTATGGCCGACGTAAAACTGGCCATCACCGACATGGCTACCGGTACGACCGACATGGATTTGTTGGCCATTAGATAATCGTTGGTACGGKTATTATTATTAGTTGATGTATTTTTGGATTTTTTTAGTCTACCTGTCCAACCGTAGTAGAGACCGATAAGTGCCGACACCAATAGCATACCGATAAATATTGAATAATCTATATATGATAGTTGTTTATCAATCATATTTCAATTATAATGTATATATAAATAATGTATAAAAAAATTTATATATAAATATATACTGTATAAATTATATAATATTATATATAAGTTAATATTTATAATTATTTAAATAAAAAACAATTATATAATATTTATTCATTAACTTTAAACTAAAAATAAATTGCTTTATAATTTTCTATTGATTAAAAAAATATTAATATATAATTTATTTTATTTAAACATAAAATAATAATAATAATAACTAAAAAAATGYAATAATTTTTTTTTGTTTATAAATCATTAATTTTTATTCACATAATTAATTAATTTAGATTTTTTATTTTTTTATTTTACGCATATATAGATATAATAGTCGATGATTTATTTTAATCATTAACCATTTAATACTATAAATTAGTTATTTTTAAATTATTATTAAAGATTTTTTATGCATTATTGCTTATAATAATAATTATTATACCAATAATATCCATAGTTTAATATATAAAAAAAATTGTAATATAATCTAATCATTATATTCTAATGTTACAAAAAATTTTATAAAATAAAATTACTATTAGTATAAAATAAATTACTTTAATTAGAAAATTTTTAATATAATTATATTTTTTCTAATAATTAGTTACAGTACTAACAATTTTTTTTAGCAATATCTTACTTTAGACTATAATTTATATAATACAATACAAACACAAATTTTATAAGTAATTGTAATAATTAATATACAGTATAAACATCAAACACAAAATATTAAGTTTTTTTAAAAAAAAATAATTATTAAATTCAAGTAATATAATGCATAACTTATAATAATAATAATAATAATAATAATAAAATTACTAAATGAAATATGATTATACAAATTTTATTGTAACATTATTTTTATTTTAATTAATAAATAATTTCATGTATAAATAATTACAGTATTTAAAATAAACATTAATATTTATTTTTTTATTTATAATATTAATTATTAACAATTAATTAACAAACTGTATTAACTATTGTACTATTATTTTGTTTTGTATGGATATTAAAACATTGTTTTTGATACCTTTCCACACGATGTCTAAGCAATGGTGTCAGCAAACAGGGATCTATTGTCTTAAGGGATGTCCTACCTATTGGTAGTATATATATATATATATATATATATATATATATATATAGATATATACATTATCCACCCAAACAATCAATAAATAAAATAATAATTAGCATAATAATAATTATACATTTACTAATATCATATAATTATCTATTGTATTTATATATATATATACCAGTCATCAATGATATACAATAACCGGATAAAATAGTTACCAGTGCACCAATAAGTCCATAATACATATAGGATAGTCGATAGATAAAAAATATGTTATCATTATGATGTAGGCCCTCCTCCTCCTCATAAGTGGGTCGACCACCACCAACACTATAGTTTGCTGATGAATGTATAGTTAGATTATCGTAAACTAGTGGACAACTATCCACAGATATTGGTTTGCTGGGTAAATATGGCTTGTAATATATGGCACCCGTACCTATCCATAGGGCACAGGCCATACCTAGYAGTGTACCCCATAGTGCACCCCTGGAGTTAGCCGACGGTACAAACATACCCAATACGAACAGACCGAACAACGGCGACGATAGTAGGCCTACTAAACTGATGGCTGCCTGCAGTATATTACCCATTTGTTGGGCTACCAGAACCAGTCCAATGGCTAGTAGGCCGTAGCCGACGGATATCAATCTGGCATAGACTGTAGCCATTGAATCGCTTAGTRCTGGTTTGTCGGGGTGTCTGTTCAWTAGTATTGGCCGTACATAGTCTTCAAGTGTGACAGCGGACAGTGCGTTCAGACCGCTAGATATGGTACTGTAATTAATAATACAAATACAAATAATAATAATAATAATTATTATTATTACTGAATATGTTATATATATATATAGTTAGTTGATTGATAAATAGATTAGGAAAGTTATCTTAATCTGTATATACCTAAGCGATCCACTGAAAACACCGGCAATAAATAGTCCAACAAAACCGGGTATCGATCCAAATGTTTCGATAACATACAGTGGAAACAATTGATCGGATCGTTCAACCAATTTGCTGGACATGGGATCGCAGGTACTGTATTTGGCTGTTATAAGCAAACCGGCCATCAATGATACTAATGTTATTGCTGTTATCAATGGTAGGACTACCCAAACAATACTAAATAATTATTAATTATTATTATCAAAAAAAATATATATATATACAGTATATTTAGATTGTAAAATCAATACTTTCTAGCTTTATTAAGTGTGGGCACCGATAGATAACGTTGAACCATTGTCTGATTTGTTGAGAAAACATTGGTCCAGAATATGAACTCACCGATCACTACTGTCCACATTGTATGCCTAACCAATGGATTGGGATCTAAACTATTGTTTTTTAGAAAAAAAATTGAAACAAAAAATAAATTAAATTAAATAACTATATGTTTGTGTTTATATCACTTGAATAGCTCTATCCTATGAAAACTGTTATGAAATTATTTTAATATATATATACAGTATATATCGTATATACAGTATATATATATATCAGTGTTAAGCAAGTTTTTTGTGTCTAGGGGGGAGAGGGTGGTAAACCAATCATACCGCCTAACCCCCAGTGCTTAACTTTGATATATAACTACAAAACTTTTATAGTTTTAATATATATATATATATTATTTTTTGTATGAAATGTAATCACTTGAATAGCTCTATCCTATGAAACAGTTGATTAGTTTGCCAAACATTGGTTAGTCCACCCAAATCTACCGTTCCTTTGATAACAATCGTAAACATCATGACAAACATGAATACCGTTTGGAAAACATCAGTCCAGATAACGGCACGCATACCGCCCAGTGTTGTATAGAATATACATATGAATCCAGTTGTCAGCACCGATAGCCATAGATTAAGACCGGTTACTAATATATATATATATAAAGTTTTATACACTATTATCAAACACTATTAATATAAGCATTCATGCATTTAATGTAATTTTTTTTAAAAAAATAAATTAATATTAAGTATAATATTTATTATTATTTATTTGTAAATTTATAGTATTATATTATCAGTATTATTATTATATGGATAGGCTTACACTGTGCTATAGCCAGTGCTGGTGCATACAATACCAGTGCCATATAAAATATCTAGAAATTTTTAAATACAATAAATTATTATTTATTATTATTATTAACTAATAATTTATATTATTTTTTTTTCTAATTAAATTAAATTTTATTAATTATTAATTCTAAATATACTGCATATCAATAATATCCAGTATTTTATTAGTAAATAATTTAATTACATACCGTATGTATTGTAAATATTATTGAACCCAATAACCTTGCTGAACTACCAAATCGCTTATACAGGTACTATATATATATATATATACAACAACAACAACAAAAATTATAAATGTTTAATTAATTATTTGTCATTAAAGTACAAATAAATAAAATAAATTAATTAATTAATTAAAAAAAAAACAATACCTCATTAGTACTGGTTATGTTTAGACCGTAGAAAACCGGTATAAACATATAGGCGCTTATGGCCAGTGCCATAGGAAATGGTAGCAACATTGACCAGATTTGTGTACCATATAGATAGACTTCGGTAGGCATACCCAACAGGGTTATGGCCGATATAAAACTGGCCATTACCGATACGGCTACCGGTACTACAGACATGGATTTGTTGCCAATCAAATAGTTACTGGTGGTAGTGGTGGTGGTGGTGCTGGTGGTGATGTCGGTTGAGTTAGATTTTTGTCTACCTGTGCCCCAGAAGCAACCGTAAAACAGTCCGATTAGTGCCGATACCAATAGCATAGCTAATAATACAGTATAATCTATGATTGATAATTGTTGGACCATTTTGTTGTTGTTGTTGTTGTTTTTTTAACTATTAATTACTATTACTAAAAAATTACTATTAAATTAATTATATATATAATTATTAACAACAAAATATTTATATTATTATTTGATAATAAAAATATATTTAACACCAAATTATTTATTTAAAAAAAAAATAAATGTTGTACTAATATTATTATTATGTTTTTTATAAATAAAAAAATAAAATTGTGTATTTAAAAATAGTGAATAACTATAACAATAAATTAAAATAACAACAATACAATTGAATAAATATTTATAATTAAATTTTTTTTTTATTACTCGAATAATTAAATTATTTATTTTTTATTATTATTATTATTATTATTTGTACATACATACTGTACATATAATTTATTTTTATTTTTTAATGCATTATTGACTATTAATGTAATTATTATAATAATAAATTTTAAAAGCTATTTAAGTATTTGGAAAATAAAATATATTTTAACACATTTTTATTGTTTATGCTATTAAATTTTATTTATTTATTTTTTTATTAAACTAATAATTATAAATATTAACACTATTAACAATCATTTAATTATTTACATATTATTTTTGTTATGTAGAGGTATATACTATTATAGTAGTAGTAGTAGTATTAGTAGTAGTAGTAATAGTAATAGTAATAAAAATAATAATAATAGTTAATGTTATATAATAAAGTAAATTACTTTTTATAATATTTGAATTTGTACTGTATATACAAATAATTTGTGCATATAATATATATAAGCATTATACAATTGAAACTGTCCGAAATTATAACAAATTTTAAAGTTAATTTATTCAAAAACTACAAATGATTAATTATCATAATATTCGCCACCAGTTTCGATAATTCTTGCCCAACGTGTGGGTATATATATATGGCAAAAAATATTTTGATGGCATTTTCGACCTCATCTTTGTTTTGGAAGCGATTATCGTCCAAATAATTTTGAAGAGCCAAAAACAGATGGTAATCAGTTGGAGCAATATCTGGGCTATACGGTGGGTGAATAATATTTGCGACATGTGGTCTGGCATTATCGTGATGAAAGATAACACCTTTTCTGTTGACCAATGCTGGCCACAATTTAGTCAGAGAAGACTTGACTCTTTCTAATTGTTGACAATAGAGGTCCGAGTTTACGGTTTGGCCAACATTCAACAGTTCCCAGTGAACAATACCCTTAATATTCCACCAAACACAAAGCATAACCTTTTTTGGTGCAAATCTGCTCTTGGAGTCGGAACTGCCTTTTCTCCTTTGCTTAACCATTGACCTTTTCGGGTGACATTGATGTATAGACACCACTTCTCATCACCAGTTACAATTCGGTCAAGAAATGCCAAATTGTTGTTACGTAAAAGCAAAGATTCGCAGACAGTAACACGATATGTTTTTTGTTCGGGTGTCAATTCATGTGGTGTCCATTTCCCGGCTCTGTATCTTTTGCCAATTGAATGCAAATGACTCAAAACTGTGTTGTAATGCAAGTCAAATATGTTGGCCAACTCTTGACATGTCAACTTTGGATTTTCTTCAATCATTTTTGCCAGATTATCCTCGGATATCTTTGGTGATGCACCGGGTCTTTGTTTGTCTTCCAAATCAAAGTTACCGCTTCCGAATCTTTGAAACCATCGCCGTACAGTCCTATCGGTGACCACTTCAGGATACACGCCATTGATATGTCGAGCGGTCTCCGCAGCACTTAATCCACCGCGAAAATCAAATAACATGATGTGTCGGATATGGATGTCATTCGCGGAAACGGCCATCATTGGTAAATCACAATAGATATCAAAACAAATGACAATTAAATTTGAAGACTGGTAATCAATTTATTCAAATAACAACAAAAAACTTTGTTTACACTAATACCCGCTTTACAGTAATAACGTAAAGTTTGTTGTTTTAAAATGGACATTACTTGTTGTATAATGCTTATATGTAAACATTGTATGCAAATATATAATTATCTATTAGTAGAAATATGTAAAAAAATATATTTTTATTAATAAATGAATCATATTTACATAAAATAAAAATAATATATATAATAAGTTATAAATTTTATAAATTTAATAATCAAAATTAAGCAACCAATTTATTTTTTAATTTTTTAAATAATAGAAAGTATGTACTTATAATAATAATAATTTAAACTTTTATAATATTATTATTAATTATATTTTTGCAATTTTATTATTAAACCAGGATTTTCTAATTTTAAAATTAAGTAAAATAAGTGAAAAAAAAACATTTTTAATTAATTAGATTGATATATAAAAAAATATTAAATAAAAAAAATCAAACAATGTTAACACTTGTTAGATGTTTACTAATAAAATACATTTATTATATATATAAATATATATATGACTATTACTTGTATTAATAATATTATTAAAAATTTTTATAATAAATTTGATAAATTATTTGACAACAATAACAGGACATACATACATACCTAAAATATATATATATAATTAATTAGTTTTATCTAGCTTATTTTTTAATAATTAAAACATGATATAGATAGATGACGTAGATCATATTGCAATTAGTAAAATTAATAAACATCATAAAAATTAGTCAATTAATTAATTAATTAAAGTGTGTTTTTTAATTTTAAAAATTACTAATTGATTATTATTTTTTTCAAAAAAAAAGTATATAAACTATGTGTCTGTGTGTTAATTTTTATCTTAAGTTTTAACTCTTAAAAAAATAATTATAATTATTTTTTAAAAAAAAACTAATACAGTTAATTATTTATTTTTTCAAAAAAAATATTTATTAATTAATTAATTAACCACGATGAAATCTACTGTTAGTGCTATATTACTATTGTGTACATTTGGTAAGTTATTATTAAAATAATAATTATTATTATTAAAAAATTAATAATTATTATTATTAAAATATTAATAATTATTATTATTAAAATATTAATAATTATTATTATTAAAATATTAATAATTATTATTATTAAAATATTAATAATAATTATTATTAAAATATTAATAATTATTATTATTAAAATATTAATAATTATTATTATTAAAATATTAATAATTATTATTATTAAAAATAAAAATACAATTGAATTTTCAAAATACTATTAAATTTTACTAATAATTTAGCATGTTAACTTTTTTTTGAAATCAATATATTTTAAAATTAAAAAAAATATTAATATAATTTTTTATTATTATTATTATTATAACTATACTGTATAGCGTGTGCATCGGCACAGTTTGGTCCTATTTTCCCGAACCTACAGCTACCAGGTCTACCGTTYCCTAGATTTCCAATRTTTGGCCACAACCACCACCACCACCACCASCARCAGCAGCCCCCTCATCATCATCATCAACACGATAAGGATTGTGACCATTTACCGGCCGAAAGTGGACAGTTTACTGCCGAAAATGTCCGGCGTATGCCATTAGCTGAACCGGCCATAAATTTAAGTAATACTATTACTATTATTACTAACTACTACTACTAGTAGTAGTAATTTATTATAGCAATTGTCATAAATTGTCGGTAAATTTTTAGTATAAATAATAATTATATATATATATATATATWTWTTTTGTTGTTGCTGTTGTCGTTTTGCGCACCGGTATATAGATTTTACGGCCACTCAGACGACCAATATGACTGTCTTCAAGAATATTGTCTGCACTGGCGGTCCCATCAAACGTATAACACTGGACTCGACTTTCCCCAGTGAAGTCACATGCAATGGTTACGATGCATGGGTTAGCCCGTGGACCTATCAAGTGGTTACTGTCGATAACCGTCGAGAAAATCTGACAATTGCTAACTTTTCACAATATTATACTTTTCTGAATGGTATGTATTTTTTATGAGACTGTATATACAGTAATAGATTATTTGTAAGCACTGGTAGTTAACATAATATTTATCATATATTTTTCATAATCAATTAATTAGGCAATCAGTATGAAGTCAATTACGGTGAGATCAGTGAGGGTCGGTGTAAGGGAGACATGTTTTTCTCGGTCAATGCCTATGTGGCCGACCAGCAGCTCGGGTGTAGCGGTACGGGTCTGAAGTCGGCATCAATTGACTACATTAATGCCCACATCTATGGCTCAAACTGTGCCTCAAACTGTCAATTGGATAGTAAAGTCAAATCGTTTTTCCGTTACGACCCACCCATACATAACTGATTAATTAATTATAAATTGATTAATAATTTTCTTACTCTGAAACATATTTAAAGTTTTGTTTAATTATTTAAATGAATTTTTAAAATGAAATAAAAATTTCTATTATAATTGCATAATTAACTAATTGTATTATTATTATTTTTTGAATAACAATATATAATTAACTAAATATTTGTTATTACTGGACTTTATTATTTTATTGATAAGTTATTTTTTTAAAAAATAAATATGAATTTATTTATAATTCAAAAAATACTATATGTTTATTATGCTTATAAATTTAAACTTATTTTTAAATAATTACTATTAAATATAATACTATTTTTTTGTGTAATAAAATTTAATATATATATATAAATTTTATAACTTTTTTTGTTTGTGTATATTATAATTCAATATATTTATATATTTAACAACTAAAACACATTATCATATGATTAAACAGTATATACAGTGTATAAAAGTGATAATTAAAAACTAAAAAAATTCAAAAACAAGTTTTAATAAACAAATTGAGAGCAAATGATCACTACTTGTATTACTGACTAAACTAAACTCTCTCTCTCTCTCTCTCTCTCTCTCTCTCTCTCTCTCTCTCTCTTTATTCACTTACTCACTCATAGACTAACCCACTCACTCATACACTCACTCACAAAATTATTTAATACAATTAATTGTAAAATGTATTAAAAATTAAAACAAACAAAAAACATTATGCATACATACAATCAACTCGTGTTTAATATAAATAATTGATTGCATTAAATATTGTATACTAAAAGTCCATATATTATGTAACTTTACTCTCAATTACATAAGCTTTTTTCGGACAACATTTTTAGGATAAAAATTTATACATATTTTTTTTGTTTCTTAAAAAAACATAAAAATCTATACAAACAAATGCACTATAAACTTATTGAAAAATGTTAAGCCCATAGATAGACTAATTTTTTCAAGTTATAAAAAAATAATAATAATAAATAATTTTTATTTATATTTTTTTTTTGAAATCAATATAATTATCAAATATATTATATTATTTACAATTATTATCCTTAAAAAATTTTAGTATAAATACTGTGAGATGTTTGGAGACATTGAATATCAATTGTGAATCAATAGCTAATAAATATAATATTATATAATAAAATATAATATAAATTAATTGAAAAAATAGTTAAATATATTTATTTAAACTTATTGTAACTTTTTTGTTGATTGACAAACAAATACAAACAATGTTTTTCAAAGTTAGTATCAAATTTTCATTTTTTAAAATTACTTAATTATTGTTAATAATATTTATTATAACATTATTAATTGATTATTAATATATATATATTTTATTTTCTCTGATATCCCTGTCCACCATTACCACCACTACCTCTACATTAATACTACTACTACTACTACTATAGGTAACAATATGTTTGTCACTACTGGCCGTCCACTTGTCTCACGGCTCGAGTAGTATACCGTTGGCAGTCAAGTCGTCGCGCGATATTCAGGTCATTAATATAAAGTCAGACTCGGGTGACAATCGGCCGACCAGTGTAGACATCGGTGCTATCGATTTACCCGTTGAACTCAATTGGCTAACCCGATCGTCAACATTGAAGACCAAACAGCGTCACATCAGTCGACCGGGTAGTGTCCAACGGGACACAGCCAAAGATGAACCACAAGTGCTCGTACAGGAAATACTGAGACCAGTCGTACAGGAGGTCCGGGAGATTATAGTTCCCCGGAGGACAGTCCTACAGGAGATCAGACCAGTTGAGGAACAGGTGCGTACAGTTGTGGCCAGAGGTGACCGACAAGGACTAGTAGACGACAACGATAGTGGACTTATCGGTGGACGAGGAGATGATGGACGACTCGGTTTGGTTGGTCTCRGAAACGGACGACTAGTCGGTGGTAGCAGTGGTTTAGGACTACTGAAACTCAGTGACAGTGGTTTAGGACAACAACTAAGACTCAGACAACTCAATGATAATAATGATGGCGGATATGGCAGCAGAACCAGCAGTGATGGGGACAGACTGTTGATCAGCTCCGGTAGCATTGGTGGCGGTAGTGGTGATGACAACAGTAAAGATTTAAGTAGTTTATTGAGTGGTTTGCGAAAAGTTAATACCAATAATAATAATAATGATAATCTTAATGGCGGTAGTATTAGACGCTACGGTTATTAGATTATTACGGGTACGTAAAAAATAATAATAAAATTACGGGTATTTAGGACACACACAATACTAGGCTACCGATACTGATTGATAAACCGATTTTTGTTGTTGTTTTTTATTACTTTATTATTATTATTAATATTTATATTAATTAATTAATTAATATAATTATGTAGTATAATGAGTGAACAATTTCATTGTATTATAATCCATAATCTTTTTACTGTATTAGAAATTAATTGTTTTTTAAATAAAATATATTTTTCTGATTTTAATTTTTAAACTGTATCATTATTTTTATATTATTTTTAAATATTTTTACTAAAAAAATAAAATGTTTCCTGTAATATTTATATATAATAAAAAATGATTAAATTGTTTATTATAAAAAAAAATATTAGCTATATGTTATATTATTTATTAAAATTATATAATCTAAAAAAAATTGTTTTCATTATATTAAAATTAATTATGTCTAGCAAATAGTAGACAATAATATAACTGTCAATAAGCTAGACTTAAAAAAACAAACATTTTTATTATTTAATTTAAATAAACATTATATAATAATAATTAAAAATTTATAACAGTATCAATTATAATTATAATAATTAATAATTTGTATTTATAATTGAATATATTTATGTAATTGAAATTTTTTTTGGTACTGTATATTCATATTTTAAATATATAGTTTAATTTTTTTAAAACTTAACTTTAAATCCCGATCATAATTTTTAAAAGCAATTAAAATTTATATTAATTAATTAGTTTACTTTTTAAATTTTTAAACTAAAAACAAATTGCAATACATAAACACTTGTTATTATAAATTTATTTAATTAATTATAATCATTGACTCATATAATCTATATTTTATTGTTATTATTGTAAAACTTGCTAAAAAAAATATTGTTTAAATAAGTAAACGTTAATAAATCAATTATAGTGACAAAATAAAAAATATAATCAATAATAGGATTTATTTTTAGAAAAACAATTATTATAATTATTAATTAGTTGTATCTATCTATTTATCTTGATAAATATTATTCATGATAGTAATTGACGTAGTTTAATATAACATCATCATCATCATCATAACAAATTAACTACCTGAGCTGATTGAAAGGTCCGGGTGTGTGTGTTTGTGTTAAACTAATTGATTTTTTTTTTGATATAAAAAAATAGTATATAAACTGTTTGTTATACTATAAAAAAAATCATTCAAACAAACTAATAGCTTAGTATATCAACTATAAAAAAAAGTTTAACAAAATAACAAAAAAAACAACCATGATAAAATCTAACGCTTTTATTTTATTGGTCACAATTGGTAAATAAATTTATTATTATTTTTGTTATAATAATTATATTATTATTAATTATTTTTTTGTTGTTTGAATAGCATGTGTATCGGCACAGTTCGGTAATTTTTTCCCTAACCATCGACACACCGATGATTGTGATCATAATAGTAATGGACAACACGGTAACCGACATTTCCCAGGTATATACATACACGCAAACGCATATATAAACATATATATATATATATATATATACACAGTTAATATTGCAAAAATATTATTCAATATAATATTAATCAATAATTTTTTTGTATATTTTTATTTAATTATAGGTTTACCGATCCCGAGATTTCCAAATATTTTTGGTCATCAACATCACGGCCAACATCATCATCACCAACAACAACAACAACAGGATAGTGGTATTGGTGGTCAATTTCCGGCACCATTGGCCGAAAATGGACAGTTTACTGCCGAAAATGTTCGACGTATGCCACTAGCCGTTCCCGAAACACATTTAAGTAAGTATTTTATTTTTTTGTTTATTAATACTAATTACTATAACATCAATGATCTGCACCTGTATATAGATTTTACGGCCACTCAGATGACCAATATGACTGTCTTCAAAAATATTGTCTGCACTGGCGGTCCCATCAAACGTATAACATTGGACTCGACTTTCCCCAGTGAAGTCACATGCAATGGTTACGATGCATGGGTTAGCCCGTGGACCTATCAAGTGGTTACTGTCGATAACCGACGAGAAAATCTGACAATTGCTAACTTTTCCCAGTATTATACTTATCTGAATGGTATGTATTTTTTAATGAGACTGTATATACAGTATTGTATAATATGTAAGCACTGGTAGTTAACATACTTGTTATATATTTTGATAATCAATTAATTAGGCAATCAGTATGAAGTCAATTACGGTGAGATCAGTGAGGGTCGGTGTAAGGGAGACATGTTTTTCTCGGTCAATGTCTATGTGGCCGACCAGCAGCTCGGGTGTAGCGGTAGTGGTCTGAAGTCGGCATCAATTGACTACATTAATGCCCACATCTATGGCTCAAACTGTGCCTCAAACTGTCAATTGGATGCTAAAGTCAAATCGTTTTTCCGATACGACCCACCCATACATAACTGATTAACTAATTATTTAATAATTTAATTACTGAAACATATGTAGTTTTATTTAATTATTTAAATGAATTTTATAATGAAATAAAAATTTCTATAATAATTGCATAATTAACTATTTGTATTATTATTTTTTATATATAATTAACTAAATATTTGTTATTATTATTATATTATAGATAAGTTATTTAAAAAAATAAAAATAAATATGCTTTTATTTATAATTCACAAATACTATATATATATATATATATATGTTTATAAATATTAAATTAGTTAATAAAAATGATTTATTTGTTTATTATATAATATATTACTTATATATATATTCAATAGATAATAATTATATAACCTAAAAAATTGTTTTGAACTATCTTAAAATTAATTATGTCTATCAAATAGTAGACAATAATATAAGTGTTAATAAACTAGACTTAAATTTTAAAAAAAACTTTTTTATTATTTAATCTAAATTATATACATTATCTAAAAATTTATAGCAGTGTCAATTTTAATAATAATATTAATAATATTTTATAAAAAAAATAATAATCATAGATATATAATTTATGTAATTGAAAACTTTTTTTGTTATGTAAATTCAAATTTTAAATATATATTAATAGTTTAAATAGTGGTAATAATTTTTAAAAAAATATTTTTTTTTATTTTATTAATTAATTAGTTATTTACTAAATATTTAAACTAAAAACAAATTGCAATACTATAGCACACTTGTTATTATAAATTTATTTAATATATTATAATCATTGACTCATATAATCTATATTTTATTGTTATTATTGTAAAACTTGCTAAAAAAAATATTGTTTAATAAGTAAACGTTAATAAATCAATTATAGTGACAACAACAAAAAAATATAATTAATAATAGGATTTAAAATTTAAAAAAATATTATAGTTATTAATTAGTATTGTCTTGATAAATCTATCATGATAAATTTATCTTGATAAATATTATTCATGGATATTTGACGTAGTTTCATATAATATCATCATAATCATCATGTTGAAAAATAACTACCTGAGCTGATTGAAAGGTCCGGGTGTGTGTGTGTATGTGTGGTTAAACTAATTGATTTTTTAAATAGTATATAAACTGTGTTATACTAGTTATAAAAATATCTATCAAACTTATATCAACTATAAAAATATTTATATATAAAAAARTCGATTAAAAATTTWTAATTTWTAAAAACAAYCATGATAAAATCTATTATTTTATTGTTTACAATTGGTACAATAAATTTATTATTATTTTTGTTTTTTTTTAAATAATTTTACTGTAATATAAAATTTTTTATTTATTTTTTTGTTTGTTGAATAGCATGTGTATCGGCACAGTTCGGTAATTTTTTCGATGCATTACCGTTCCCGAGATTTCCAAATATGTTTGGTCATCAACATCACGGCCAACAACAACAGGGTAGTGGTGGTCAATTTCCGGCACCATTGGCCGAAAATGGACAGWTTACTGCMGAAAATGTCCGACGTATGCCACTAGCCGTTCCCGAAACACATTTAAGTAAGTATTTTTTTTTGTTTATTAATACTAATTACTATAACATCAATGATCTGCACCGGTATATAGATTTTACAGCCACTCAGATGACCAATATGACTGTCTTCAAGAATATTGTTTGCTCTGGGGGTCCAATTAAACGTATAACACTGGACTCGACTTTCCCCAGTGAAGTCACATGCAATGGTTACGATGCATGGGTTAGCCCGTGGACCTATCAAGTGGTTACTGTCGATAATCGGCGAGAAAATCTGACAATTGCTAACTTTTCACAATATTATACTTTTCTGAATGGTATGTATTTTTATGAGACTGTATATAAACTGTATAGTGTGTGTGTAAGCACTGGTAGTTAACATAATATTTATCATATATTTTTGATAATCAATTAATTAGGCAATCAATATGAAGTGAATTACGGTGAGATCAGTGAGGGTCGGTGTAAGGGAGACATGTTTTTCTCGGTCAATGCCTATGTGGCCGACCAGCAGCTCGGGTGTAGCGGTACTGGTCTGAAGTCGGCATCAATTGACTACATTAATGCCCACATCTATGGCTCAAACTGTGCCTCAAACTGTCAATTGGATACTAAAGTCAAATCGTTTTTCCGATACGACCCACCCATACATAACTGATTAATTAATTATTTAGCTAAATATTAATAATCATTAAATATTAATTAAAAAAAAATAATTGAACTATTGATAATTAAATAAATATATTATTTTTGAATGCATTAGAAAAATTGTGTACATTTTTGTTTTACTTTAGTAATATTAACAGAGAGAGTGAGTGAGTGAGTGAGTGAGTGAGTGTGAGAGAGAGAGAGAGAGAGAGAGAGAGAGAGAGAGAGAGAGAGAGAGAGAGAGAGTTGGCCTTCACTTAAAATTTACTTTTATTTTTAGACATATACTACTTGTTTTTATAAATATATTGCTATTATATTTACTTTATTATTAATACTAATGTAATGTCACGTATACACATGTGTTAATAATATTAGAGATGCTAATACAATTTATTTTAGTTATATATTTTATACTATATAATTATTATTATTAAAAAATTAATGTAAAATTTTTTAATTTATTTTTATATTTACATTGAATAGTTTACAAAAAAATTTATATATATATATATTTATATTAAAGTATATATATATATAAATAAATTTGTTTATTTGATAGTATGTAATATATAGTTTATTGCATTATCATTAATTGTGTTATATAATAATAATAATAATTTTTTATAAACATGTGTGTGTGTGTGTGAGAGAGAGAGAGAGAGAGAGAGAGAGAGAGTCATAGTCATAGCAATAGTATTTATGATAAAAAAAWATWAAAAATATTTACTATTATATTAWACAATAKTACTGTATTATATRTGTTATTTATTATTAAAATGTGAAAATAAAAGTGCATTTTTTAATAATAATAATAATAATATTATTATTATTAACAAAATTTAATTTTACTATTAATAATAATTTAATAATTCAATTGTCTATTAATATGATGACTACTACTACTACTACTACTACTACTACTACTACTACTACTACTACTACTACACCAACACAAACACGGGATAAATGGTTGAAAATGATTGACAAGTTTTATGTGTTTGACGACGACCTGGGCATCAATATGCTGTTTGTCACCACCAACACTACCGGAGCTAATGATGCTGACAGGGTATACGGTTTGGGTGCCAACTCGTGGGGATCGTTAGGTTTGGGCAACAATCGSCGKGTAGGYGAACCKCGTGAGCTGAAACAATTGAGAGGTTCGGGTATTGACCAGTTTGCCAATGGCCGCGAGTTTGTTGTAGGACTGAACCATAAGACCGGCCGAGTCTATAGTTTTGGTTTGAATAGATGGGGACAGTTAGGTTTGCCGGTTGATGACAAAAAGTTTAAATGGCCAAACATTGTACAGATACCCGATCCTAATGACCAGTTAATTCAGGATCTAAGTTGCGGTTCATATCATACACTAGTATTGACCGGTAATAATAGAGTGTACGGTTGGGGTCGCAATCAATTTGGTCAAATCGGTAGCCGAGAGCCTACTACTACTACCGGTGCTRCTRCTGATGATGATTACATTGTAAGGACACCCGAAATGGTCGACTTTGGTGACGACAGCGACAACAAGTATTGTATAAAAACTGTCCGATGTTTTGAAAATACATCCATAGCGTTGACCACTGGGGGTCAAGTGTTTAGTTGGGGTCACAATCGGGATCATCAGTTAGGTCACGAAAATATTGRTGAAATTATATGGCGTCCAAAATTGGTCTACAATTTGTTTGGCGTTATCGATGTACAGTCCGATTATAAAAATACCTATTTTTGTTGTACTACTACTACTACTACTACTACTACTACCGATAGTAGCACAGGTAGTAGTGATAGTAATGTATATTATTTTTGTGGCCAATATTTTACTACTGATGGCAACAACAACAACACTACTGTCCACATACAGGAGCTGCCAATTGTATTGAAAACATTGCCACATAATAAACAAGTCAAACATATTCAGTCAATAATATCGTATAAATCAAATAAATCAAGATTTTTATGTAGTTTAGAAACTAATGATAATATCTATGAATTAATAGCCAATAGTTTAGTTGAAACTAATAATAGTTTTGATAATTATTTTCAATGTTGTAGCTATTGGTTTGATATAACATTGAAAACATATGAATCAATAATGAATTATTTACTGATAATATCCGCGAGTTTTTAGTTAATACTTTTAAGACAATTAAAACTGAATCAATAGTTAAGACACCAGACTATTGGCTCCGGTTGATGGAAACGGTATATGTTTTTGACGACTGTTTCGGTATTAATATGCTATTTGTTACCAATGATGACGATAATGATGATAATGATGATAATGATAGTCATCGGGTCTATGGTTTGGGTGCCAATGCATACGGATCGTTAGGTTTAGGTCATAATCAGTCAATGTCGGAGCCACAGGAGCTCAAAGACATGCGATACAAACGTGTAGTCAATATATTGAACGGCGAAAAGTTTGTAATTTTTGTGACCAACGATTGCCTGTATAGTTGTGGCTATAATCGTTGGGGACAGTTGGGTATTGGCCACCAGTTGTCCGTTGACTTTGATTTTAAGCGACCAATGAAAGTACCGATTACTGATGGCTCGATAGTAGACGTTAGCTGCGGCCGAGCGCATACACTGGTGCTGACCGATAGTGGCCAAGTATATGGCTGGGGATTGAATGATTTGGGACAAGTAGGTAGCCGTGACCTGCAGTGCGAGTCAGTTGATCGGCCCGAACGGATAGATTTTGGTCAACATAACGGACCGACTGACAACTATTGTATTAAATCGGTCTACTGTTGTCAGGCACAGTCGTTTGCACTGACCAGTGATGGACAGGTATGTTTGTTTATGTGTGTATGTGTATGTGTATGTGTATGTGTATGTGTAGGTGTATGTGTAGGTGTATGTGTATGTGTATGTGTAATATACAAATATATTATGTGTTACAGGTGTTTAGCTGGGGTCACAACGTTAGCCAACAATTAGGACTGAGCTTATCGGATATGGCCATATGTAGGCCCCGATTGATCACTGATTTATCGGGTATTACATCGATCAGTGCGGGTACTGGTATAACCTATTTTCTAAGCCAAACCCAGCAATTGGTCTACTTTTGTGGTCTAACAGTCAACCAACGTACGGCTATTGAAATACATGACAAACCCGAACAGTTGGGAACACTAGACAACTATAATGATTTTCAGTCGATTGTTTCATACAAATGGAATTATCTGGAACTGGTATGCCTTAGGGACAGTTGTCTGTATAGACTGGTCGGACGTAAACTAAATAAATTAGAAAAATTATATACTACTAGTCTAGACTATTGTCTAGACAGGTATCATATAGTATTGAAACCATTGAAAAAATCTACTAAAAATTTTAATAATGAAACAATCAATCAATTTATTCGACAAACATTTCAAACTATCCTAAATGAATTTAGAAATTTATCTAGCTTAAATGAAGGTAAAATTTAAATTTTATTTAATTATTAATTTTTACAAAATACTAATTATTAATTTTTAAAAAATACTAATTATTAATTTTTTGAAAAATACTAATTATTAATTTATATATATATATTATTGTGTGTGTTGTGAAAAATACTAATTATTAATTTTTTAAAAATACTAATTATTAATTTTTAAAAAAATACTAATTATTAATTTTTACAAAATACTAATTATTAATTTTTAAAAAATACTAATTATTAATTTTTTTTAAAATACTAATTATTATAATTTAAGTTTAAGTTTTTTGTTTTAAAAATTTTATTTTCAATTTATTATTATTTATTTATTTCATTTTTTTTTGGTTTTATTTATAGACAAAATTTTTAATCAATATTATCGCTGTTATGATGAACTGCAAGCACTGGGATCGGGTGGCTTTGGAAAGGTATATAAATGTAGGCATAAGTTTCATAAGGATATTGTTGCCATCAAAGTCATTGATGTTAAAAGTAATTTTTTTTAAATTTTTTTATATTATTTAATAATATTAATATTAAAATATTTAAATTATTAATAAATATTTAAATTATTAATAAATATTTAAATTATTAATATTATTAAAATATTTAAATTATTAAKAAATATATTTAAATTATTAATAAATATATTTAAATTATTAATAAATATATTTAAATTATTAATAAATATTTAAATTATTATTAAAATATTTAAATTATATAAAAATAAATAATAGATTCAATACTAATAAGCGAACTATTGGAAAAAGAGATGGCCAGGGAGGCCAACTTGAAATCAGATTATTTGGTACATATATTCGGTATCTGGGCCTACCATACCCGGGTCTATCTGGAAATGGAGTTGTGCACAATGAGCCTAAGGGATGCCATCAAATTGAAGGCACGGGTGTTTGATAGGCCCCAGAATTTAGGCCAACCCATGAATCGCATGGAATTTTTCATAACATGCGAAATGCTATACGAAATACTTGAATGCGTCCGCTATTTGCACGAATTGAGTCCCCGGCCGGTCATACATCGGGATATAAAACCCGATAATATACTGGTTGTTGAGGACATACGAAACGGCCGATTCCTGAAGCTATGCGATCTGGGTTTGTCGGCCGTACTCAACAACAACAACAAACTGCTAGTGGTAGCCAATGGTGAGCCTAAACCGATGACTACCGGTGCGGGTACACCAAAATATATGGCACCCGAAGTCAAGTTTGGCGGCAATTATACAACAAAAGCCGATATCTATAGCTTAGGCATTACTATTGAAGATATGTTTGATATACATATTAATGAGTATTATTATTATATTATACTAATTAATTAATTAATTAATTTTTTTTACTATTATTTACTAATTTGATTTCTAAGCTATAAATAGTATCTAATTGTAAAAAAATAAAACAATTTTTTTTATTAATAATTATATATTAATAGATACTAAAGTATTGAGTTTTAAATATTTTATTTTTATTATTATTAATTTATTAATAATATTATTTTTTAATTTTTATATTTTTAAGTCCACGCGATAACTATCTATCAGATGAATTGGGAGACAATTACTGTCAAATATTTGCTATCATTCATCAAACAACACAAACAATTTATGATAGGAGACCTACCTGTGCTCAGATTATCGATGGCTACAGTAATTGGCGTATGTCTAGACTAGTGATGTTGGATAATTTGGATAAGTTAAAGTCAGATCTCAATGAAATCAAACGTAAGGAACGGGAGATACGTTTTAGGGCCGACAACGATGATGACGGTATCGACACCGGCGGCAATAGTGTTGTGAATGGMTTTTACGGAGAGTTTTTATTTAAATTTGCTTTTTTAAAAATCAATGGCTATTATAATAATGTTAATATGAAAATGTATGACGATTTAGAAATATAATTTTATGTGTATGTGTATGTGTATGTGTATGTGTATGTGTATGTGTATGTGTATGTGTATGTGTATGTGTATGTGTATGTGTATGTGTATGTGTATGTGTATGTATGTATGTGTATGTGTATGTGTATGTGTATGTGTATGTGTATGTGTATGTGTATGTGTATGTGTATGTGTATGTGTATGTGTATGTGTATGTGTATGTGTATGTGTATGTGTATGTGTATGTGTATGTGTATGTGTATGTTTGATTGTGTGTATGTATATATGTGTGTATGTATTTGTGTGTGTGTTTGTGTATGTGTATATATGTGTGTATGTATTTGTGTGTGTGTTTGTGTATGTGTATATATGTGTGTATGTATTTGTGTGTGTGTTTGTGTATGTGTATATATGTGTGTATGTATTTGTGTGTGTGTATGTGTATATATGTGTGTATGTATATGTTTGATTGTGTGTGTTTTTTGTGTGTGTATGTATGTATGTATGTGTGTGTTTGTATATATAAAATTCACTTTGTGTATATATATATTTTATTTTATAAATTTATATACAGTATACTCATACAGTATTTATTTAATAGTGTTTACAAATAGTTTAATTAATAAAATAAAAAAATAGTTAATATAATTTTTTTGTATTATATTTTTAAACATTTATAATATGATTATAATACAGTACTTATTTATTTATTTATTCATAATTGTTATTGTTACTGCACACAGAAAGTTCCTGTATATTTTAGAGAATAAATGTTCCCTAAATTTTGGGAACTTTTAGAGAATTTTTATTCACTGATAGCTTTGCTATTATTTTATGAAAAAGTTGGTAATTATTGGGGAATTTGATCCAAAAATTAGGGAACTTAACCCTAACATACATTACGGTAGTCTAAAGTTAACTTTTTTGTGTCGTATGTGTTGTAAAACTAAAGGGATTTTTTAATGAGTAATAGTTTATATATAGTTATAGTATTGTCTACAATAGTTTAATCTAAATTTATTAATATTAATTATGTTTAATTATTTTTAACTAATTATGTATAGTTACTTTAACTAAATATTATATTTAATCATATAAATTATATAATATCTAATTTTGATAGTTCTAAAATAACTTAATTAATTATTAATTGTCTAATATACTGTAATTACAAATACATGTAAATCTCTCACACAAAACATCTCTTTATAAATTATCAATAAATTAATTGATTAAAAAATAAACTTTATTTTGCATTTAAATTTCACAATCACAAAATCACAAAAAATTCCTAATTGTAATGAAAAATTTGGTATGTGTGTGTGTGTGTGTGTTAGGAAACAAAAATCATAAAAATTTCCTAAATTGTGTGTGTGTGTGTGTGTGTGTGTGTGTGTTAATTTTTTGGAAAAAATTTACCTTGTGTTGTGTGTGTGTGTGTGTTTATATATATATACTTTTTGTTTAAATTTTCTAAAACTTTTGGATAAAAAATTCCTAATAAGTACCTAAAATATTAGTAAAAGTTTTAGTCACAATAAATTCCTAAATTTTTCATTAAATTTTAACTAAATTTTTGACATCAATTTTTCCAGGGGGACTTTTTTTGATCATTTTTTGTTCCCAAACACTTCTGTGTGTGGGTATTATTATTTGACATAAAATAAATATAACCTTGATAAATTGTCCATATCATAGTCAATATTAAATATTTAGTTATTTTTTTTGTAAACTAATACATTATATTAGTTTTTTTAGATGACATTATCTAACAGTTTATTTAATAATAAACATATGATTCTTAGATCTACAGTAAACATATTTATTGTCAAAAATTATTAAATAAATATAAATTAAAGCTTAAATTTTTTTCAATAGAAATTTGATTAAAATTGATTAAATAAAACTTAATTTATTTGAATATTAATAAAAAAAATAGATGTTGTTTATAATAAATAAAGTATTGCAAAATTATCTAATAGTTTATGTAATATACGACAGTATATACTGTATATATAAAGGGTTATAAAGTAAATAGATTTCCATAAAGTTTATATATATATATAAGCAATGATTTATTATATTTGTTAAATGAAAAAATCTGATTATTATTATTAATAATAATAATAAAGTATTAGTAAATTAATGTTAACTTATTAAAAATATAATTTTAAATTTACTAAATAAAAAAATATTTATTTATTTTTTTTAAAAACTCAATAATGAAAATACTATACAGTTGTCTATGTTTATGGTTATTGATTTTGCTATATGTATCGCTAACATTAAGGTAATAACTATTACTATTATTATACAATACAAAATAATAATAATTTTTTTTTAAAAAAAAACTTTATTTTACACCCACTAACCCACGCCTCACACTCTCACACACACACACACACAGCGATACAAATATTAAGGGACTGGATGAAAAAATTGTTAACCAATTGTTGGCCAACTATGACAAACGTTTCAATCCTAATGGCTATACTACCGACACCACCAGCACCACCAACAATGGGTCAAACGGTACTACCGGTGCTGCCGGCAGTGGTAGTGGTGGTCCGGTTATTGTACGCAACAGTATCTACATACGTAGCCTGGAGTATGTGRACAGCCGTCGACAGGAATGGAAACTGCAGATGACTTTCCGTCAGCAATGGTTGGATGAGAGGCTGGCCTACGCTGACGACAACAACAATCAGGTCATACCGTACGTACAGTTAGGTACGACCGACCATATTTGGATACCCGATACTATGATATCCAATTCACGGGAAACAGTGAAACATACTGATGTTGTACCCAATATATTGGTACGTATTATGCCCGACGGCCAGGTATTGATGTCTATGCGTATGACAGTAACACTGGACTGTCCGATGGATTTACATGACTATCCGTTTGATAGGCAAACCTGTCCCATATATATGGCTAGTTGTAAGTTAAAAACAAAAAAATATTTATTTATTTTTTATATAAATAGTTTATTAATTATATTTTATTATTATTATAATTATTATTATAATTATTATTATAATAATTATTATTATTATTTTGGTTAGATGGCTACACTATGAAACACCTAGTATATTTATGGAAAGAAAATGATCCAGTACAGGTATCTAAAAAGTTAAATGTTAGACAACTGGTATTTAAAATGGAAAACTACARTACAAGCTATTGTAATGCACGTACGAATACAGGTACTAAACTGTTACTACTAAACTAATAATAAAAATATAAATATATATTTTTAAAAATAAATAAATTATTAATACGTTATTATTTTTTTTTTAAAAATGTATCAAGGTGAATATTCATGTTATAAACTGGAAATGCAATTTCAACGTCAAACCCGCCGCTATATCTGGCAATGGTTTGTACCGACAGTCTGGTTGACGTTTGTCGGGTTTGTATCGTTCCTGATACCCGTACAAAACTACCGGCGCCCGCAACTATTGCTGGTCATGCTATTGGCCCAATACCTACACAATCAGGTGGCCAACTGGCGATCGGCAGCCGATGATCTGGATGTTAGCTATTTGACCCTAAAAGACATGTATTTTATCAGTAGTTTTGGGTTTTTATTGGCCGCACTCCTAGAGTACGGTATGGTCTGGTTTGTGGACAGTTATAGCCGCCGGCGTTGTCGTAGTGGACCTAATAGTCTACGCGATAGTAATATCCAATTGGTGACCAACAACAACAACAACAACATCAAGGATGACCAGCTGTCCGATAATATGGTAATACTATATATATATCTATAGTTTATATTAAATATTATTCATATATTATAATATTATAACTAATATTATTAATATGTTTTTAATGTTTGTTTGTTAAAAAAATTTTTAATTAATTTATTTTATTATTTTAAATAATTTTATTTTTTTTATTTTTTTATTGGAAATATTTATTTAAATTAATAATTTTGTTGTTGTTTTTTTAATTTTTATATAAATTTTTAATTTTCTAGAAATCTATGGCCAAATTTAGTTCAATGGAAAGTAATGATGAACTAGTAGTGGACAGTCCTATTGTTTACTACTACTACTACTGGTTTTTTACAAATAAAGTAGACCTGATTTGTGCCATACTGTTCCCAATGGCATATCTGGGCTATTTGATTTATTATTTTAGCTAGATAATATTATGATGTCTAAAAAAACAATTTACTTTTTTTTGATAATGTTTATTTTCTAAAAAATTAATAAAAATAAATATATACCACAAATATTTTTTTAACAATATAGTAGTCTATTATTGTGTTTTATTTTTTAAGTAATAGTTATATATATATATAATTTATATATAAAATTGTATAATCAAAATCATATAATAATAAAAGTTAATTTTTTTCAAAAAAAAATTTACAAAAAAAAATAATTCAAATATTGATTACTTAGTATTGTTTCTAAATTATACACTAAAATATTTATATATATATAATCATAAATTTATTATTGAATAAATATTTACAGTTTTTTTTTGAATAAAAATATACAAAATGTATTTATTTATTTTTTGAAAACTTATATAACTTTTCAAAAAAAATAAATAATTAATTTTATAAATACTTTTACTTAAAATAATATTACGATTAATTTTTTAAATTAAAATTAATTGTTTAATGTTTGTTTGTTTGTGACACTGTTTATTAAATTACATATATTGTTATATTTAATATTTAAATAGTTATCAAATAAACAAACAAATAAAAAATATGTGTTATTTTAGATTATTTTAATTATTATTTTAACTATTTATTATTATAATTTAAATTTCAATGTCATTTATATTATAGTTGTTTTTTCTAGAAATGTTAAACAATTTTTTTATTAAAAAAAATATTAACAGTATTGAAGTCATAATTTATTTAGATATACAAAATAGTTAATTAAATAAATAGTATAAAAAAAATTATATTTAATTATAAAAACTTATCTATTATTTGTTATGTCAATCCATTAATCAATCATTTTTATAATAATGTAAATGTAAATGTAATAGTAATATACATGTATATATATATAAAATAAAATATATTACATTAATATTTACATAAATAATTAGCAATATTTTAAATTAAAATTAGATAAGTATTATATAATCAACAACAACAAAAAATCTTTTATTATCTTATAATAATTTTTTTTAACTAAATTAATACATAAATTTTTTGGTAACCTTGAAATATACTTAATATTTGTCAACTAATTTTTATTTTAAACAAATAATAATAATAATAATAATATCATTATTATATTACCCTTGAAATAACTTGTATAATATTTAAAAACTTGTTGAATATATAATAATAATTTACAACCAAAAAAAAAAATTATATTTTTGTCATCATTTACATCAAAATAATGCTTATATACTCATAAATGGTAAACATAATTAATTTAATTTATTTTTAAATAATATTAATATATTTATTTAAAACTTGAAAAATATTTTTTTTGTGTTTAAAAAGTTAAAAACAAGTTTTTCAAATGCTATTAAAAAGTTTTCCCATAAATGATAGTAATTATCAGCTAAATGTAATTTTTTCAGTAATATTAATATTATATATATAATCTAAAAATATATTTCATTAAAAATTAAATAATAATAGTTTTTTTAAAATAATAATAATATGAATTTAATTCAAACATCACTAGTAGTATTATCGTTATGTTTAACTTTGGTTTTAAGGTATAAAAATTAAACTATAAATATTAAACTTTAATTTTTTTTGTATTTTTAATTTTAAAAAATTAAACCAATAATAATTATAAATAAAAGTAAAAAAAATAATTAATTAAATTTAGGCAAAAATATATATATATTATTGGTTAACCAAAATAATTGTTAAAATTAATTTTTATTTTTAAATGTAAATAATAATTAAATAAAAATTTATTATTTATTTATTTTTATTTTATTTTTATTTTTTTTGCAGTCAAGTCAAAGAATATTATGAACAAAAAACTGTTGAAAAACTATTAGCTAATTATGACCGGCGTTTCAATCCGTGGGAGTATAACTGGTCGGCCAATGGTACCGTACATTTAGGACCGATTAACGTAACCGTCAATATGTATGTCCGTAGTATTGAATATATCGACAGTAAACGTATGCAATGGAAAGTACAGCTAACGTATCGACAGAAATGGCAGGACATGCGACTCCAATATGACGATAGACAGGGTATCATCAGATACGTACAGTTAGCTAATCCATTGGATACGATATGGGTTCCCGATATGTTTATATCTAACGCGCGTGAAACCTACAAACACGTAGATATACTGCCCAATCAATTGGTTCGGATCTATCCGGACGGTTGGGTATTGTTTTCAATTAGACTCACGACAACAATGTCGTGTCCAATGAATTTAGTAAACTATCCGTTTGATAGGCAAGTGTGCTCAATACAGTTGGCTAGTTGTAAGTATTTATTATTATTATTATTATTATTATTATTATTATTATTATTATTATTATTATTATTATTATTATTATTATTATTATTATTATTATTATTATTATTATTATTATTATTATTATTATTATTATTATTATTATTATTATAAAAACGTATTAATAATTTAAATAACTTTTATATGTTATTATGATATAAATTATTGTGAAATATAGAGTATATATTTTTTTTAAAAAATCGAAACAAAAGATAATAATATTTTAATTAATTTTTATAAATTTAATTATTGTAATTATACATAGAATTTACATTATTATACTGTACAGTATATAATAATATAAATGATTATTATTATTATTATTATTTATTATTATTAATATTTAAAAATATTTTTTTTAAATTAAAAAATTGACCATCATAAACTTGGCTACTCCTATCCCCGCCCAACCCCCCGTTAGATGGCTACACTACTGACAGTTTAGTGTACATGTGGAAAGAGGATGATCCAGTACAGATAACTAAAAATGTTTATTTACCACAATTTACCTTGAACAAATATCTAACATCCTATTGTACATCACGTACAAATACAGGTAATTATTTTTTTTAACTATAGTAACTAATTTTTAACTATAGTATTAAATATAGTAATTATTTATTAAATATAGTAATTATTTTTTAAGTATAGTAATTATTTTTAAATATAGTAATTCTTTATTAAATATAGTAATTATTTTTAACTAAAGTAATTTTTTAAATATAGTAACTTATTTTTAACTATAGTAATTATTTATTAACTATAGTAATTATTTATTAACTATAGTAATTATTTATTAACTATAGTAACTAATTTTTAACTATAGTAATTATTTTTACCAATAGTAATTATTTTTAACAATAGTAATTATTTTTAACAATAGTAATTATTTATTAACTATAGTAACTAATTTATAACTATAGTAATTTATTTTAAATTAGTATAAATTTTAATTAATTTTTTTAATCCATAGGTGAATATTCATGTTTAAAAGTAGACCTACAATTTACCCGGGCACCACTGCCATACATATGGCAATGGTTTGTACCGATGACCTGGCTGACCTTTCTCGGGTTTATATCGTTTTTCGTACGACCAGCCAATTCCGGGCGCCTGCAACTGTTGCTGGCCATACTGGCCATACAGTACGTACATAGTACACTATCAACTAAATGGTCCGACTCTAAGGTCAGCTATACTACGCTCAGGGATCTGTATTTTGGGGTCAGTTATGTGTTTACATTCGGCGCACTTGTCGAGTACGCCCTGGTATGGCTAATGGACAGTCGTCATCGTCGTCAACGTAATAGGACTAACCAGGACTACTCGATTAACAATAATAATAATAATAAACGCTATACTAATACTACAGGTGCTGGCGATTCACCCGATCTTAATGTTATGGTAAGCATACAAATGATTTTTTTTTATAAATTTTAATTATTTTTGAATAAATTTTTTTTTAATTTTAATTTTTTCAGAAACCTATACTCAAATATAATTCATTAAACAATGAGGGTTTGAATCGTCAATCAATGGGTAGCACCGGTACTACTACTACCTACTGGTGCTTTAATAATAAATTGGATCTAGCTAGTGCCATACTATTTCCAATATTATATTTGGGATTTATTATTTATTTTATTTGTAAAGTTACCCTGATATTAGATATTGAATCTATTTGAATGATTTAAATAAATAAAAATTAATATTAATATTGTAATCAAACGAAATAATAATAGTTTATTAAAAAAAATAATTTTATTTTAAATTTACAAAAAACAAAGAATATATACATTTAAATTAGAATTTATTAATAACTTTTTTTTAAAAATACAAATTGATAACTTTTATTATTATTATTGACAAAAAAATATTTTTATGTTTTTAAAAAACATACTATTCTGAATATTAGATTTTTAAAAATATTTTTTTTTTTTAATTTTCTTTTTATTGATTTGATTTTTTTAAAAATAAATTGTAATGGGTAAATAAAATATTAAATAAAATTAACATTTTAAAAAAAAAATCAAGAATAACAACAATTTACTATTTTATAAAATTACTTAATAATAATAAATGATTTGCACTGAAATTCACGCACATTATAGCAAACTCCCAGTTATTCATTGGAAATAAATCCAAACAATAGAAACCAATGACCGATCCATTCAAACGTTCAATCGTTGACTGGATTTTCCATTTCTGTCGATACGATAGTCGATGGGAACGACATATATATAGGACTCGAGTAGACGTCGGGGTCGATGAGCCTCACGTGACAATCGGGAACACATTGTATTGATACCGAAAACAATTGAAAATAATAGGCTAACTATTACTATAATAAACAAACTGGTTGATAGACTTAAATTTTTTGCATAAATAAAATAGACACCTATTTCTAAGCCAATCGACGCAAAATAATAATATAAATAAAAATAATATATATTTTACTAATTCATTGATGTCGACGACAATAAATTTTGTTAACAACATATGATTATTCAATTGCTTATCAAGTATTTGAAAACTATCCAAACGTAAGGCTAGAGATACGGTTTTTCATTGATTTCCTGGAACTTGTATTTCATAATCATATAAACCATATAAAAGATAACAAAACCAATGCATGTCATAGCAAATGCCGGTAGAGACCAGTCAACTGTCCACATAATATGTTAAACAATAGGCCAACAACTAAGACAATAGATGATGATTGATGATAATTAGCTACATAAGCCATATAGGTTGTATAGAATAACTATTGACCAATAGATATATCTAATAAAACATTTATACAATATTAGTGTTTTATTGCAATAGTTTACTATAATGTATATTGTTGATTGTTAAAATTAGCTTGTTTAATTTTAGTTCATTGAATAGATGTAATGTTACATAAATTAAATATATACACAGTGACCAATCGGCAAACATACAGGAGCCGAGCACCGGGTCGATTAAATAATATACTGGACTCCAGGCTATTATTGTTAGTAAACTATTGCTGTTGTTGTTGTTGTCATTATTAGTATAGTCGACAACAATAGCTGCCAGTATATGGCGTATAACTGTTAGAAATAGATATATATATCTATAATTATGGCCCAAATTAATCGTTTAATTTTTGGCTTATTATTTGCTAAATAGTTTTCAATTGTTGATAAAAATATAAAATATTTTATCAAAAATTTCTCAATTCTATAGATAAGTTTATAGGAAACTCTAGGTATGTCTGATATAATAACTAATTGTTTATTATTATTATTAGTTGATTTATATTTAGTTATTTTTAATAATTTATCCATTTTATTGTATTTTTAAAAATTTATATTAATTAAAATAATTTAAGTAAAACTATTTAGTATTTAGTATATTTATAATAATTTTCTAATATACTAAAACTACACTAATTTATTGAATAATAAAAATTGATTTTGTAATTAATATTTCATTAAATTCAAATGATATTTAAACTATAGTAACTAATTTATAACTATAGTACTTATTTATTAAATATAGTAATTATTTATTAACTATATTAACTAATTTATAACTATAGTAATTATTTATTAATTATAGTAACTAATTTTTAACTATAGTAATAGGACTAACCAGGGCTACGCTATTAATAATAATAATAATAATAATAATAAACGCTATACTAATACTACTAGTGCTGGCGATTCACCCGATCTTAATGTTATGATATGCATACAAATGTTTTTAAAATTTTAATTAATTATTTTTTGAATAAACAATTTTATTTTTAATTTTTAGAAACCTATACTCAATTATAATTCATTAAACAATGAGGGTTTGAATCGTCAATCAATGGTTAGCACCGGTACTACTACTACCTACTGGTGCTTTAATAATAAATTGGATCTAGCTAGTGCCATACTATTTCCAGTATTATATTTGGGATTTATTATTTATTTTATTTGTAAAGTTACCCTGATATTAGATATTGAATCTATTTGAATGACTTAAATAAATAAAAAATAAAAATTAATATTGTAATCAAACAAAATAATAATAGTTTATTTTTTAAAAAAAATACTTAAAAATTATTTTATTTTAAATTTACAACTAAAAACAAAGAATATACATTTAAATTAGAATTTATTAATTTTTTTTAAATACAAATTGATAACTTTTATTATTTTTATTGATAAAAAATATATTTTTTTAAACTATCTATTCTGAATATTACATTTAAAAAAATATTTTATTTTAAATTTTATTTTTATTGATTTGATTTTTTTTTTAAATAAATTGTAATGGGTAAATAAAATATAAAATTAAATTAACAAGTTATTTTTGGAAAAAAATCAATAATAATAACAATAACTATATTAGAAAATTACTTAATAATAATAAATAATTTGCACTGAAATTCAGACACATTATAGTAAACTCCCAGTTATTCATTGGAAATAAATCCAAACAATAGTAACCCAATGACCGATCCATTCAAACGGTTCAATCGTTGAATGGATTATCCATTTCTGGCGATACGATAGTCGATGGGAACGACATATATAGGACTCGAGTAGACGTCGGGGTCGATGAGCCTCACGTGACAATCGGGAACACATTGTATTGATACCGAAAACAATTGAAAATAATAGGCTAACTATTATTGTAATAAACAACCTGGTTGATAGACTTAAATTTTTTGCATAAATAAAATAGACACTTATTTCTAAGCCAATTGATGCAAAATAATAATAATAATAATAATAATAATATATATTTTACTAATTCATTGATATCGACGACAATAAATTTTGTTAACAACATATGATTATTCAATTGCTTATCAAGTATTTGAAAATTATCTAAACGTAAGGCTAGAGATACGGTTTTCACTGATTTCCTGGAACTTGTATTTCATAATCATATAAACCATATAAAAGATAACAAAACCAATGCATGTCATAGCAAATGCCGGGGTAGAGACCAGTCAACTGTCCACATAATTTGTTAAACAATAGGCCAACAACTATGACAATAGTTGATTGATGATAATTAGCTACATAAGCCATATAGGATATTATAATAGTCCATAGATTGTATATAATAACTATTGACCAATAGATATACGTAATAAAACATTTATACAATATTAGTGTTTTATTGCAATAGTTTACTATAATGTATATTGTTTATTGTTAAAATTAGCTTGTTTAATTTTAGTTGATAAAACAATTTCATTGAATAGATTATATGCTGACTGTATTGCCAATGTAATGTTAGATAAATTAATAATATACACAGTGACCAATCGGCAAACATACAGGAGCCGAGCATCGGGTCGATTACATAGTATACTGGACTCCAGGCTATTATTGTTAGTAAACTATTGCTTTTGTTGTTGTTGTCATTATTAGTATAGTCGACAACAATAGCTGCCAGTATATGGCGTATAACTGTTAGAAATAGATAGATATCTATAATTATGGCCAAAATTAATCGTTTAATTTTTGGCTTATTATTTGCTAAATAGTTTTCAATTGTTGATAAAAATATAAAATATTTTATCAAAAATTTCTCAATTCTATAGATAAGTTTATAGGAAACTCTAGGTATGTCTGATATAATAACTAATTGTTTATTATTATTATTAGTTGATTTATATTTAGTTATTTTTAATAATTTATCCATTTTATTGTATTTTTAAAAATTTATATTAATTAAAATAATTTAAGTAAAACTATTTAGTATTTAGTATATTTAGAAAATTTTAACTTGTTTTTGTTTTAACTTTGAAGTCATGTATTATTATGTATATAATATAATAATAATTAGCTAAAAAAAATATTATTTGTTGATATTTTAGTCTAATTTTTTAATTAATAATAACAAAAATATCCCATAGCAACAAATCTAATGATATATTTTATAATTATTATATATTATTATTAAATATATTATTTTAATTTATAATATTCCTAAAAATATTTATTAATTTATTAAGAAATTAAAATTGATTTTATAATTAATTAGCATTTAATACACACAAAAATAATATTTATAATAATTTTCTAATATACTAAAACTACACTAATTTATTGAATAATAAAAATTGATTTTGTAATTAATATTTCATTAAATTCAAATGATATTTAAACTATAGTAACTAATTTATAACTATAGTACTTATTTATTAAATATAGTAATTATTTATTAACTATATTAACTAATTTTTAACTATAGTAATAGGACTAACCAGGGCTACGCTATTAATAATAATAATAATAATATTAATAATAAACGCTATACTAATACTACTAATGCTGGCGATTCACCCGATCTTAATGTTATGATATGCATACAAATGTTTTAATTAACTAATGTTTTATAATAACTAATTTATTTTTAATAATTATTTTATTTTTAATAATTTTTTTATATTATTTTTAAAAAAAAAATGTTTTTAGAAACCTATACTCAATTATAATTCATTAAACAATGAAGGTTTGAACCTTCAATCAATGGATAGTACCGGTAGTACAGCTACTACTACCTACTGGTGCTTTAATAATAAATTGGATCCAGCTAGTGCCATACTATTTCCAGTATTATATTTGGGATTTATTATTTATTTTATTTGTAAAGTTACCCTGATATTAGATATATAATCTATTTGAATTTTTATTGACTTAAATAATAAAAAAAATAATCATTAATATTGAAATAAAAAACAAAA